AAATTCACCTCCGCGTTTTGGAAATCACTTTACATTCCCCTGCTTCCCAATCATTTCGGCGATATCGCGTGGAAAATCGTTCACAGGGTCCTCCCACACGCCCTGTCCCTCTTCCGAATAGGCGTCTACCCCACGATGGACTGTCCGCACTGCAATGACACCGAAACGCTCGATCGCCTTCTCCTCCATTGCCCCGCTCTTAAACCCTTCTGGGTGACCATACAAAAATACGTCACCGACATATCCAACGACAACATAACTCTGACACACCCCATAGCCCTTTTTGGTGTCCCATTAACGAAGGCTAACGCCCACTGGCGAAGCGAAATCAACCTAATTAATTTCATTCTAAACATAGCGCGCTACGCTATACATAAATCGGCAGTAGAACTCTGTTAAAATGATGTTCACATCACACCACAGTATATTTTTAATGCTAAGGTTAAACACTTTATTCAAAAAGATTTTCAAGTACAACAACACACAGGTCTCAGCTACTATTTCCCTCTGAAATGGTACATTAACGATACTATTGTAAGCCTAGTAAATGAACGACTCCATTTTCACCTATAGAGATCTATTGGAATACGAAATTCTGGCTAGTATATGCCAACAACCAGGTTAATACAAAGTAATGAGTCCCACCATATATACGCCGCAATATCAAACCTTTTGTTATGTTATCACTAGTTAGCCTCAATAAATGTAACACTGCAATAAGTAGAAAACCTGTAATAGTTAAGAAATCTCAACCTTGTCGCCTTGTAAATAGAATAGCTTAGAAGCGGGTCACATTGAGCTGTTTTAGTAGAAATAATAATAAAAAAAAAAAAGAATATAGCTCTTTGGCATACAAAGCTCTGCTTTCATGTCCAAATTGAGCATTGTGGGGTGAGTCATCGCCGCTAGCATTGCGCATAGCTCACTAGGTTTTTCTAGTTTGAGCACTCTGGCATGGCTTAGACGATACCACAAATGTGGGATCGTTCGGGGTAACCATATCGGTCCTTCCCCCATCGTATTATCAGCACTGCACTGATGAGGCCCAGAAGGCCGAAACGGTACTGTCTACAGTTACATATATACATATATATTAATTGACTTAAATTTTACTAAAATACTGCCTTTTAATTTCCTAAACCTGACCACTAACAGCATTACTGGCCAAACTCAGTTGCTAAATAACTATTTCTAATAATCACATAATTCCTACCACTCGATTCTAATTTGTAATTGTAATTTGTAATGTTTTTTTTAATGGAACGTTAGCTCTGTGAGATCTCTCCTGCCAAATTGATTTTGGCGAAGCTTATAAATAAATAAAATAAATAAACAAAGTATTTAAAAAATCTAATATAATATTATATTACTAAATAAAGACAATAATACTAATGCTGCTCATAATCCTAAAATTTCATACCACTACTTAATTAAAAAAGAAATTTCTAGCCAATCGTGAGGTTTGCAGATTGCCAGAGTTCATGAGGCTTGAAGGAAGGTCATTAAACAGTTTAGCACCGCTATAGATAAAACAGCTTTTTCCAAAATTGCGTTTTACCTTCTATTGAATCCTGCCGCTAGGCCTCAATCAGCGATAGAAAGATGAACACATTCATACGACGAACTCCCCGAGAGTTACATGTTACATTCTTCCTCCATTCAGTTCCCAACCCCTCTCTTTCATATTTTGCATGTTCCGCTCTCTTAACGGGCTGTCTGGTTACCCTGTATTGTTCCGCTCTCCTAATAAGCCGTGTAGGTACCCTGTATCACAAACTGGAGGTCTTTCATAGGATATCAACCTCTAAATTTAACTAAATACAGACAACCACCGTAAGTGGCCTTTCGTGATTAGAGAGATTAAGCACTACGTATTTTTTTCCCGCGAACGGCAGAGGGTCACGTGACCTGACATTTCCCGCGTCTGCTGTTTGCGGGCCGCCGTTTGTCATTTTTTCAAGTACGCACAAGCACATATGATCTAGAAACCTAAGGAAACTGAGCGAAAAGTACTGCGTTCTTTATTTCTTGTTCCAAATAGTTGTGTGAATACAAGCAAAGAACAAAGCGTCTTGCCCTTATTTTGAGCAAACTTGGTGCAAACACAACATTGTTTTCAAAATTTTCTGGTCACTTCATGTACGCACGTACGTATATGCGTATAGGACGCTACGCGCCTGGTTTCTACTCGAGGAGGACATTTTTCCCGTTTGTAGTGAACGCGAAAGCGTGAGTATTTGCAGCCCATTTTTGCCGACTATTTCTACATTTTGATCGCTTCCTTTTATAGCTAAGCTTCGTTTATCATCTTACTTCTATAAGAACTGCTTGTAAAGCTAATGAGTTCAAATTCAAGCGGAAAATACATTACTTCTTTGTATCCATCATTTCTAGTCGCAGTGAATGGAGAATGAGAACATTTGTTCTGCCGTGTCGTCGGGAAGCTTAAACAGACGAACATCGCGGACGGAACGGCAAACGACAAGCCGACGTTCAGCGTTCGCCGTTTTCGCGGTGCTTAATCTAACTATTAACATCACTTGAGTTGCCTGGGGCCTGTCGAACGAAACCATCCACCGAACCCTTTCACTCTCATGATCCGAGAGGTGAATCTCCTAACTAATGCCCAGACATGTATATGTTGCCTCTCCCAGAGAATTTAGAGTGTTATCAATGTAATATACATTTATTGACAATTTCCTTAACTCTTACTACCACTTCTAGACAGTGCATTTATACTAATGTGAGGAAAATTCACAAGCTGATCATTCCTGAAGTAAAATGTTTGCGCGAATAGTTCTTTCTATGTTCTTGATATGAAATAATCAGAATAATTGCATTTGCACAGAATACCAAGTTACTCCGTCAAGAAATTTTCTCTTTAAGTCATTCAAATCTCAGAAAAGTAACATTGTATTCTGTAAATAAGACAACTTGATTACTATTTGTTCTATATATTTATTGACTAAATAAATATTTGAATCTGATATAAGCTTTCTATGGCTATTGTAGCTTTTGCCTTTGAATTTTATGATAGTAATTTGAACTTTTAACGGAACCCCCCCCCCCTTTAATCTGTAAAAAGCCAAAAGATCTTGGAGATATTTGAACAAAAAACAAACAATGCTTACACTCGACCCTAAAGTTGATTTCCGCTCAGGTCGTCGAAACGTCAGTCATCACTACCGACAACAGTCCTTCTCAGGACTACACTCACCCGGACGATCAGACTACACTGTCACATGTTAACCCCCCTCCCCCCCGGTTCAAACCATTTCCTCTTTAGACGTTTTACGAGTCTCTATACACGACTTTCAAAATGGCGGACGGCGCGCGAGACTGGTAACTAGTTAAACATGAAACCGAGGTCAGCAACGCCACATTTGAGGACAACATTGTAATTAAAAGGTCAATTAGGGTTGAATAGGTTATCTGTTTCGACTCGATTCGGTCGAATCATTTTCAGGAAGAGGAAATGCCGACTCACTGTTGTGTCGGAAGTGAGACTTATATGGTTGTCTCTTTGCAAATTACAAATTTGCTCTCATTATTTCAAAGTATTTCTTTTCTTTCTTGGATGGAGCAAACGTTTGCTGGGTCAAAGCCAGTGCAGCCCTAAGTAAACCTATACACTATTATCGCTTGATTGGTAAAACGTTTCATATACAACTGATTAGTTCATCAATTTCATTGGTTACTTTTCATCATGATTTCACGTATCTGTTGGAGGGTTGCCTTCCTCGAAGGCCAACTTTTCCCCCTTTATAAGACACATCGTCTGTAGATGGAATGAATTTCTGCCTCTCGTCTGCGTCTGGGGAGTTCTGGTCGCTGTAATAGCCATCTTCTTGCAAGGAAAGCGGCGAATTTCTTTGTTCGTATTGGGGCGGATACTCAAAAACTCCAGAGTTTCTCTCGCATACGTCCTTATCTTCATCGTCTGAACGAAGCTGTTCTTTCTGACTCATGAAGTCGTCATCATTTACCTGGCTTACACTTTCTTTGGGTTTCTCTTTCTCTTGAGTGTCTTTACGAACTTTTTCCAACTCGCTGTCTTTGCGTAGAGCAACTCTTTCCTTTGGTGGGTCCTGAAGAATAAATCTCTGTTTTTCTTCAACTTCGGGGTTCTCCGGCTCAAAGGTTTCCAGTTCAATGTCTCCTGTAGGGAGGGGTGGCAGCGGAGCGTGTTTTTCTTGTTCTGAGGTGGGACTCCCAGGAGGTCTTAAGAGGCTCTCACCGGGATCCAGATATTCATCGTCAAATGTTGGCTCGTTTAAGTCTGGGTCATCTTCTGCAAGCTCAAGATCTAGGTAACCTTCGCCAGTCTTCGAAAGAGGAATAAGGAATTCGTGAGAAAGAGGGTAGCTAAGGACACTAGTTAAATTAGAATGAAAAATACCGAACAGGAGACTTGATATTGGGGGAAAAAGCAAGCAAGCAAGCTCAGATAATTCCCTAAAATAGCTCGAAAAATTCGAGGACTTCTTTTGTTTTTTTTTTTGTCGAGTCATGAAAGATGAATTCTCTTTTGCGGTTATATTTCCAAGAAAGTATACCTCTGAAGATCTCTCTTCCAACCGTTTATCAAGCAGAGCTGTAAGATCCGTGAAAGAAGGTCTGTCATCTGGGCTATGCATCCAACTCTGGCACATTATTTCGTACCTGTACATTGTATGAATATAGGATAAAAACATAAATATGACCGAATTATTGGATGAATGGATGAATTACATGGATGTCTGAATGAATGATGAAAAAACAAGAAATGATTGGCGAAAAAAAATGTATGCGCACGAAAAATGGCTTCACTCAAAGTCTGTTACTGATCAATGGAATGCTTACATTTCATCCGGGCAATTCAAGGGCTTTTCCATGCGATTTCCTTCCATCAAATACTGATAAACTTCATTGGCCGGGAGACCTGGGTACGGGCTTCCACCTTATTGATAAAGATATACTCTTAGATGCTAATTTTTCAAATAGAACTCAATGTGGATACTGTATCTTTCACAACACATGACTATCATTAAAACTGAAAAACTCACCAAGTGTAAACAGCTCCCACAGTAAAACCCCAAAAGACCATCTACGAGAGAGGGAAATACGATACACATTACCAAGGTGAACTAGGACAACGCAAATCTTAATTTTCAAGATTATAAGTGTGACTTACACATCACTCTTGTGCGTGTAAAAGCGATCAACCAAGGCTTCTATGGCCATCCATTTCACTGGAAGAAGGCCCTATAAGTGAACATAAAAACCACTGGTTACTTCCAATCTTTACAATCTTACAACAGTATGCATTTCTCCATATCATTCTCCTTGTTTTTCCCAGTGAGCTAACAAAATGAATTTTTGTTTAACAATCAGTAGCTGGTTTAGTTGGTGATCACTTCCTTTATTCTCCTGACCATAATGTTTGATTCAGGGGTGATATTGTAAGGAGAAATTACATGCTGGTCACTCTTATGGGTTAGAAGGTTAATACAGGAAGCAAACCTATGTTGTAAATAAAGGCTAATTTGAGTTCCCAATGACGAAGGAAATTAGACAAAGGGGAAAAAAAAAAACAGAGATAACGTTATAATGAAAGAGCAACAACAAAAACAAAGAGAAATATCCAATTTTTTAAGAGAAATGAGGCAAGATATCGTTTGAATCATTTTGCATCACCAGGCTGGGGAGCCGTAGGAATTCGAATTAGTATAATTTCAGAGCTAAGCAAAGAGTTTCCAGCCATCTGATTGGTCGAGCGGTTGCTTATATGACGCTATATAAACCACTCCACGCGGCTTATATAAAATGTTAAAATAAAATGTTAATAAATGTTACCAAAATGTTATGATTTTAGAAATTTCTCTGTTGCTCAGTTCTGAAATTATTATAATTTCAGAGCTAAGCAAAGAGTTTCCAGCCATCTGATTGGTCGAGCGGTTGCTTATATGACGCTATATAAACCGCTCCACGCGGCTTATATAAAATGTTAAAATAAAATGTTAATAAATGTTCTAAAATGTTATGATTTAAGAAATTTCTCTGTTGTTCAGCTCTGAAATTATACTAAAACAATTATTCACCTCAGGTTCGGAGAATATTGTCGAATAATCCCCTCGACTTTGTCTCGGGGATTATTCGACAATATTCACCTCGCCTTCGGCGAATAATTGTTAAATATTAAATTATCCCCCCAGTGCGGATTAACAAGGACAGCGGAGTCATTCTCACCGAGGTCGTTTTGACGTAATTTTCCTCTTTATAGATGTCCCTCGCCAATCCAAAGTCAGCCACTTTTAAAACATAATCCTCACCCACTAACACATTCCGAGCAGCAAGATCACGATGGACACACTTAGAAGAAAAAAAAAATTCAGATATTAGTATTAAAATCTTTGATAGCACGACTGCCGCCCGCTCTTATTTTCGTCTTCGCTGGCTGAGATCCTTAAAAAGGATACCATTACCTATTTCAGGTTGATTGTGATCAGATTCCTTTACAGGAACGAAGAACCTATTAAAATTTGCCTTCTTGCAGATATGTAGCTTCATAGTGAGTGGGTAGTTGCACCCAGATATTGTTCATCCGGAAGGCACAGGTTCAGATCTTGTCGAAGCTTAATTTTTTTTTTTTTTGGCTCCTTTTCTGCAATTTATTTAATATCAGTGCTGCTAGCCCACGGGGATCATTCTTAATTGGGTTTCAACCGCAGGCCGAAATGTTTCTTATCTCAAATCGATTGTAAGTGCTTTGTGAAATTTGATGGACAACACTCACCCTTCTTGAGGCAAGAAATTCCATTGCACGAGCGACTTGCAACGAACAGATGTAAAGGTCAATCGTTGTAAATGTGACGTCAGCGTGCTCAGTAGGGGTGGACCACTTTGCTTCGAATATATCACGGCGTTTACGCAGGAAGTCGAGTAGGTTACCATGCGGACAGTACTCTATTAGAACCCAAAGATCTCTCTCGCGTCCTACGGAGAAAATTTTTTCTAGCAACTTTTTCTTTACTTTAGAATAAAAACAGAGGTTCAAGTCGATGGGTGAGAATATTAATTAAGAATATATGTCGCTTATCATTAAAGCGTTATTCCGAAAAAAGTTTTCTGACCGTAAATACGACACAGCGTATAAGTTACTACTCAACTGCGTTACGTAAAATGTCTTGAAATTGTTAATAATTTTTTGTTCAGCTAGAAGGACTGGAATATCATCGTTTATTTGAGTTGATATTCCAGTCCGCTTTCGAATAAAATCTGAAAACCACTTTTAACATAAAGTTAGCAAAAGATTAGTAAATTACTAATAGCGACGAAAATGTTACTAAATTATTGCACAGAAGGGTGAAGCCAAACAACAAAAGTTGAATGAAGTCGGTTAAACCTGGTTTAAACGAACCTTTGGTGCATGCGCCAAGCAAGTTGACGATGTTTTTGTGCTCGCCTATATGAATCAGAATCTTCAGTTCAGATACCAAATCCCTTAACTCGGCCTCGGTGGCAGAATCTGTAGAGAGGGCAAAAGATTGTTAAAGAAAAGCTTTCTTGATAGGATCAAGAAAATACGTAGTGTAAAGCAAGGGCGGGTAAGATTTTACAGTAGGGGAGCGGAGGGGGGGGAGGGGGCGGGTTCTGTACATTTGCATCTGGCTGTTTTTTTAATAACTTGAAAGCTCCTCTTGACAAGGGAGGGGGGTGTTAAAAACATTTTAATTCTCCTCCCCCTACGACACTTAACGCCAGTTTCCGTCTGAGAGGTACAGCACGCTTTCTCTCAGTGTTCTTTTGTAAACGCAGAATGATGAACTTACCTTTAAGGCTTTTCACTGCAACTTCTGTGACTCGTTTGTCGTTAACATAAGGCCGACTTGTGGATCCAAACCTTGACCGTCTGCGGCCAGACTTCCGCTTGGTGCTACCGCGCGGGTCAAATGCCACGATACCAACCGCATGCGCAAGGAATACCTGACCAAACGCACCCGACCCCAGGGGCCTAACTGTGAGAAGAAACATAAACAGCAAGTCAGTTACTGTGATATGTGTAAACGTCAGGTTACATTATAACATAACCAAAGTAAAGCGTGCGCTCTGGTTGGCCAATTAAGTGTCCACCATTTTCCCACGGGTGTATGCTGCTGACTTGAGTAAATGCAAAGACTAGTCGCGTAAGATTTTTAGTGTTAAATAAAAGGAAACTCTTTTGCTACAGTGAGTCATTGCTATGTTACAAAACAAGTGGGAAACACCACATCGTACAGTATTGAGTTATGGATGCACTTGGGAGGTTTGCTAAGCACGAAAGAAGTAGTATTGAGTTATAGATGCAATTGAGAGGTTTGCTAAGCACTCAAGAAGCTGGAGTGGCTCTCGGCTATCGCCTCGCGCGACACTTACGCTTCTTTCGTGCTTAGCAACCTCCCAAGTGCATCCATAACTCAATAGTGTACGCTTTGGTGTCTACCATTTGTTAATTGCTTCTGTTTTAGGCTCAAGCTTAGTCTCGCAACTGTTTGGGGATGCAATGGGATGAAACGTTTCATAGTGTGAAACCCAACGAGACGACCTTTGCAAGCCAAGTTCTTGCGATAGGGAACGTTGCACCATTCGAAATCAAGTCCCATTTTTGGCAACGATTTCGGTAACGTTGCCATAATTGTTTTATACGCTGCTTCCTAAATTATATGGCAAGTTTCTCAACGAAGGGTCTTTAAGAACTTTGCAAAATGCTTTGTTCGGCAGAAATTGTTGTTCTGTTTTTGGCAAGTGGCTACATGTTTTATGCATTTAAGCTCACTTTAAATCTAATGATAAAGCACTGCGTTGCGTGTTAACCGAGATAGGATACCAACGATGGTTTAACCCTATACACCCTAACATCAATATGCATATTCTCCATACTGTCCTCTATACATTTCCTAGGGTGCTGACAAGGAGAATTTGTTCAACAATCAAGAGCTTCTTTAGTTGGTGATCATTTCTCTTGTTCTCCTGACCGGAATGTGTGATTCAGGGGTGATATTGTAAGGAGAAATTAGATGCTGGTCACTCTTACAGGTTAAGAATTCATGTCCCTGAGAGATGACAAGAGCTGTTCGTCATATTCACAAATGGAAATTCAAACATGAATGAGGAGAGCAGTTAAACAGTCGATGATCACATGACTAAGACTGTTAATAATGCTAACTCGTATAAAAATTGGTACTACGTGTAATCGAAACGGTGCTACTCCCTCTGCTGACTCTGTACTTACCAATTTCAAGGCGTTCCCTAGGAAATTCCCATTGAGCGTCGTAGGGCAGTTTGCTTATTTGGTCCAATAAGGATCTCTCTGGATCTAATTTCATGATGTAATCAGGGGGAGGTGGAAGTGTAAAGATGTAAAATCCGCCATACCGCTTCTTTCGCCGATAAAGAACCACAATGATAAACAGCAGTAACAAGATCACAAAGCTGCTGACAGCGATCACAACGATCATGGCAAGTGTGGAAAACTTGTATTCGTCCCTGGGTTGCTTGAAAGCTCCAACAGAGGGGCCTTGGAGAGAAATGAGAATAAGAAAGTGAAACTCACCAGGCTGATCCATGGGGAAGGTCGGGGAGGGTGCCACCCCTCCCCCCCTTATCACAAAAATGAGTTTTTTGAATCCATGTCAGTATGTGAGCCGCTGCGCACCCACCCCTCCCCTAACCAAACATTAACTTTTACTTGGCATCAGTTGACTTTTGTTAGGTTTGGGGAGGGGTGGGTGAGCAGTTGCTAAGATACCGACATTAAACAGAGTTCTTTTACTACTTGTCAAAATACTTACAACGGTTGGATCGCTTATTATCACTCGACTTGGAATATCAAAATTTGCTCGTCCTGAAATATTCCTTGCCTACTTTGAGGCTCTGGTTAGATTTTAAAATAGGGCAAAAAGGGTTTTTCTGTGTTTCCTAAATCAAAGCGTGGACCTCTCTTTCATTCACGAATACCTGGATTCTTGCTCAGTCGAAACCCTGTTGGGTCCAAATCTCGCTCAATCGATATACAGCCTCTCAAAATAACATTGACGCTGCAAACTGATATTAATTAGAGGGAACCTAACAAGCGTTTCCATTTAACAACGTAACCTACCCGAGTACAAAGTGTAATTGCCCTCTGTCTGTCCTTGGGTATTGCTTGCCACACAGCGATATTCTGCTTTGTCGGCCTCGTTCAACACCTCTATGATATACACTGGCTGGTTGGTGAATCCTTTCGCAGCGTTTGGTAGACGCACAAATTGACCTTTGCTGTTCTTTCTCTGCCAGATCACGGTAGGAGGTGGGTTTCCAGTCACAGCACATTGCAGCTGGACGTTGTTCCCAAATTGTGAAATCTTTGTCACGGAAACAGTTGGCCTCTCTGTATCAATGTCAAAATACAAATGTCAGATCTCAGTTCGCAAGTCTATACTTGCCTCACTTCACCCGTCTACTCGAGAAAGCATCGTTGTCTTACCCTAACGAGTGACCAGCATCTAATCTCTCGTAACAGAATCAGCAATAATTCAAATTTAAGGTCATGCAAATAAATGAAATTATTATACATTAGACTTACTATGAAAACTCTGATTGCTCGAGAGCATACAGGCAATACAGAACAGTGCGTGAGGTTGACATGATAACCCAATATCTGCTGCAGATATTGGGTTATCGTGTAGAGTTTAAAGTCTGCCTAGTTTCCGAAACCCTCTTCCGTGTAGTTTTCTCAAACATTTTCCATCTTAGAGAGAAGTGTCTTTTTTGCAAATTGTTTAAAAAATGTACGATAAAACAATTACTGAATTTGGTTTTTGCATTTCATGAATCATCAAACCTCGTGTCTGTGTTATCTCTCTGTGTTATTCACTCGTACAATTACAATTGGATGTGTCCTGTTTTTTGACAACTTCTTGGTCGAAACCTTGCATAAATACAGACCAGAACAAAGTTTTAGCACGATACTTACCCAGGATATTCAGGAACGTATCAGCAGATCCCATTCCCTCGGCGTTCTCCACCGCACACTGATAGACGCCTGTGTGATAAGAGTCTTTGACAGAGCAGATGAATATTCTCCACACCCCGGGATCCATTTCTCCTTCCATTTCGTAGACACCCCTTTTCAGTTGACCGCAGTCATCACTCTCGGTTTTCTCTATGCTTATTATTTCTCCGTCTCGTCTCCAAGTGACAGATTTCGGCTGAGGATTTGCAGTGACATTGCAGAATAATTCAGCACGCTGGCCTGCGGGTTTGGTTACATTAGGAGTGATGGTAACGGTCGGCTTGGTCAGCTCTGCAAAAAAAAAAAAAATTCAAAACGAAAATAAATCTGAGAGCTCTTTTGGTATAAAGTTAGCCTGTGTTGGGCTCTCGATCAGTTGAACGCGCATCTGAAAGTCAGAATGTTCTGATTCCTTTTTGTCTATTGACATTAACTCACTCTTAACTAAATATCCGAAGTTTGGAATGCTTTGCTTAGCCTCGGGTTTTCACCTTATATTTTGCTAATTACATCTTATTAGACGTTTTGGTGGGTAGTATCGCAGAGTATTTTTACAAGTTGTGCCGTATTTTGACGAGCCCGTATGGTGAGTCAAAATTCAAACCACGAGTAAGTGGTGAATATTTTCTGCCCTGTAAGGGACTACACACCAAAACGTCTAATAAGTTATCTATTAGTCAGCTTCTTTATTTTCTACCTTTTTCTCAAAAAGCTGGAAAAGCAAAGCAGACAGACAAGCGTGGCATGTGCAGCCGACCGGCTAAACAGGTTTTTTTTTTAACATTACAAACTAACCAACTGTCCGATATCGTGGGATATTTGTACTCTACTTTGTGCAGTTAGATAATAATTATTATATATCTTTCGTGATAAAAGATGGCGGGTGAAAGAGGTAGCAGGATCCAGTCAAACTATGTACACCTGCTAAGCTCTCAAATTAGATCTCTTAGGTAACGTAACGCAACGTAAACAGTAGCATATTTCGCAGATAGGAACCTTATTGAAACGTCTCACTCACCCTTTATTTCCACTTGAATAGCCTTGTTGGTATAGAGGCCATCAATTAGCTTCTTGGCTGAACAGATATAAAGACCAGTATCGTCAAGCGAGGCATTATAAATACGAAGCTCACTTATTTGTTGATAATTCCCTAATGATTTACTTTTGAGGGGTTGTCCTTTTTTAGACCAGAATGGGGATTCTTTGAAGACACCAACGCTGGCCTCACATCTCAATGTGATGTTCTCACCAACATTGGCTGTGACGTAAGGTTTGGGCTTGACAAACAAATTTTCGAGGTGATCTGGCTCATCTGAAACGCAAAAAGATAACATTTGAAAATTGCAATCACATCATCTTCTCCCCCTTCAGCAAGGAGTGGCTTCAATTCCGATTCGGCTCGACGAGTTGAGGAGTAGGCCTGAAAAGGATTTTTGTAATTTTGTGAGTTTGGCTTGACCAAGCCTCATTAACGAATGTTTAACTCCATAGCCTTCACAATTAAGTTATGGATACCTACGGGGGGTTGCTAAGCACGAAAGAAGCGTAATTCTGTGTAGGTTGCCTGCATTCTCATAGGTTAGGTCTCTTTCTTTGGTTTTGCTAGAGTAGTTTTCTCACCAATGCTAATTAACAAATGGTAAACATCACAGCGCACACTATTGAGTTATGGATGAACGCGGGAGCTTGCTAAGCACGAAAGAAGCGTAAGAGTCGCGCGAGGCGATAGCCGGGAGCGACTCTGGCTTCCTGAGTGCTTAGCAAACCTCCCAAGTGCATCCATAACACTGAATAGTGCATGCTGTCGTGTTTACCATTTGTTTTATAACATAACATAGATACATTGTAGCAAAAGAATTCCCTTTTATTTAAGAAACCTTACGCGACCAGAAAAAACAAGTGCACGCAAACTATTCTACATTTGCTCACGTGGGCAAAAAGTGGACGCTGAATTGACCAATCAGAGCGCGGGCTTTACTTTGATTGTGTTATAATTTGGCTTTACCATATTGAAAAGTTCCCTAATTCCACAAAGGTTCCTTAGATACGAAAGGTCTTAAACTTTCCATCAAATGAACACCTTAAGAAGTTGTGTTGACTTACTTCTTCGAATAAACTCGTACAACTTCCAGTCTACTTTTCCTCTTTAGGCGGGGTTTGTTGCAGTACACTTGAAAACTTTTCTATCGATGTTTCTTGGTACTACGAGAATGCTTGTATTCGGAGACTGTTGCTCTACCTTTCCAACACCACCCGAGATTTTTATCCACTTTCCAGATAGGCAATCAGAAGGTTCTTTGCATCCGTCTTTGATATTCTGATATGTCCACGAGAAATTCGCTGCGGGATTACTGCGTTCGGTCGTGCATTCCAACCTCTCATCTATGTCTTTGTAGACAACAGGCTTTTCATATCCGCTCTTTGTTTCTTTGATTAACTTCGGATCAACTAGTGGAACAATAAGTTGATATTACATCAAGTTTCAAGGAGGAGTTTTCAAAGGGGGCTGCTAATGTAGGGTGCACATGACGCCGCTCAGTCAAGAGAATTCGTTAATGCATCACAAGGAATAGATGGACCTGGCGTACCTTCAAATGGTATTGAGACGTTTATGCAGCACCCTTTGCTAAACAAAAAAAAGGCAAAAAGACAACCCTATGCACCCTAACATCAGTGAGCACATTATCTATAGTGTTCTCGGAACATTTCCTAAGGAAATGACATGGAGAATTGGAAAAGAAATGAGGCGACTGTCTCTCCTTGGGGGTTCGCACGTTGCTGTTTGTCCACTCTTTCCAGTTTGCAGTTCCCAGGGGTTTGCACGTTGCTGTTTGTCCACTCTTTCCAGTTTGCATTGAGATTTGGAGTGTTGCGTTTTGCAGGGGAGAGGGGCGGGGGAACCGTAGAACCTAGAGTAAAACTCTTAGAGCAGTATTATAAAAGAGAATCAGCAACAAACTCAACTATATGTGACATCAGCTTTGGAAATCAAACCCAAGCCACAACTTGTGTCTACAACGCTGCACTATCCCTGGTCCCCAAGCCCCTGCTACAAGGTTCCATAGAGTAAGGACTACAACGAACTGAGCGACGTCCTCTGTACAAACAGTTTGTGTGTGACTCATGTCACCGCGTCGATCATGGCACAAATTAAGATCAAATGAAATTTGTACGATATATTGCGGAGACCAAACTACGATGCAGGGAGGAGGATCTTCATTAAGAAGCCCACGTTACCAGAGGTGAATTACAGCAGATTTGTGATTTGTCCCTCTATGTGTACTACCTTAAACCATCGATTTTTCGTTCCCCTTGACATGATCTTGAATAATTCTGTAAGCTTACCTATAATTCTTAGCCCTGCATGCCGTTTTACTGGTTTACCCAAACTATTGTCAACTTCACAAGTGTAATCACCATCATCTGCTGGAAACTGCGTATCCTTGACATCTAACGTACTTAGCCATCTGCCGCTAGTTGGGGAACTCGATAGTTGGCTTAAGCACGTTCTCTTATCCACCCAGTTTGCTTTGAACTTAGTTCCATCAACGGAGTTACAACTGCCATGTTGTTTTCCTTCGCATGTGGCGACTATTCCGCTCCTGTTCTTCCATCTTACCGTCGGACGAGGGGAACCACTTACAGTGCAGCGGAATCTGGCACCAGATTGCTCTTCGACAGACTGGGGAGAAGGTGCAACTGCTATACCTGCTGGTGAGGGATCTATATTCCAAAAAAGATATCAAAGGAGTAGGTAATAATGATACCACTTGGATGTAGAGACAAGAAGAAATATGATAAAAAATCTCATAGTAACTATTTGGGCAACTATGAGGCGCTTTTCGATTAAGTGTTGTAAAACCAAAAACCAAACAAGCAAACTGCTCAAAGCGCGGGAAAACACAGGTGATTGGTTTAAATTTTAAAGCTGATTGGCTGAGAGGGTAGCGCGAGTTTTTTCGACCAATCACAGAGTGTAATGAAGAAACCAACGCAAAATCGGATTACTCCCGAAACATTGCTCTGTCGATACAATCTCAAAATGGCTGACAGTGAATCCCACCTTCGGTTCACACCCTTTTCATCAGTATTCCACGTAAGAATGAGTAGAGCTGGTCACTAAGTTAATTTACCTGCAACATCGATGATGATACTAATGTTGGCGGTTGCATTGTATCCATTGCTTTTTGAGCAGACATACTTCCCTCTGTCACTTCGCTTTACATTACGCAGCTTCAAAGTAACGTTTTTTGCCCAATGGCCCGTTCGCAAGGATTCTGACCGACGAGGGATGACGATAGATGGATCTGTTAGATCCTGAGGAACTGTCGATCCTGGATCTATTTTAAACCACTTCCCTATCCCGTAATGATACCCACGGCAGTCTACTTCGACGCTATCATTTACATCCAAAGGACCATGTATACAGTGTGGTATGGTTACGACGTTTACATGTACCTGAAAGTCTGCAAAACAAAAAAAAAAAAGATTTATGAGAGTGCAATTACGGTCTAACATTGTTCCTTGAATTTTATGACAGTCATGCGTTGTCAGTTCTCCTTGTAAATCTTAACAGGAACCTGAGGAGGGATTGGGTCAGAGAACAATCACAAGTGAAGGGTGGGTGAGTCATTGAGAAACGTCGTCTAGTTAAACATGTTGATCTCTGTCTACCTTTCAAGCTTGTGGGGATTTTCTACTAGTACGTTTGGATCTATCTCTGTTTAGGAACCAAACATGGAAACTGTGTTAGCCCCCCTATGGTGGTCGAGTTCAGCACAGAACAAAAGGGTTACAAACATTTAAGGGTGGCAATGCTCGGGAATTTTTTAATCCACTGAAGAAGTCTAAAGTTTTCCTTGTTTGTTAATGGGGAGGGTGGGGTGGGGAGGGGAGGGCTGTAGAACACCAACAGGAATCCCATGTCCCATGTTTGACGGTTAAGAAGCTCCCCTCATTTGGGTAAAAAAATAAATGCAGAATGAAGAAAATGTGGCAACTGTACACACACAACCCCCCCCCCCCTCAGCTCAAGGCCTGGATCTGCCAATGAATAAATTAACACTTTTCACCAAAGGCATGGAATCTGTTGGCAGAGTATCCAGTCATACTGAAATAAATCATACCATCAAGTCACCACACTTTTTGACTTTGCAAGATATGTTTCTAATTTTAGGAGACAAAAAACCAATATCAATGCATTGTATTTGCTAAACATTATTCCTACCTTGTGCTTTTGTTAGCTCCACTTCCTTTGGCTCGGGAACAACTTGATCATTCTCCCCGATAACCTCGCACTTGACAGTCACTTTTTCACCAGTAAAGAGTATTGAGAAATTCTGGCCATCTTGTGTAACATACTTGTCTGGCTGTTGAACTTCTACAAAATCACTATCCTTTGAAAATTTTCTTCTTAGCCTAACTTGTGCATTTGGATCATTAAGTTGGCAGTTCAATTGAAATACTGTTCCTGAGATGACATACCGGTAATTCATTCTATCAGGAACAACCCATGCTGCAAAAAGACAAGATGTTTATTGAACCATAATGATATTTTCAACTGTGATTAGCAGCTTAACATGTGGTACACATTACTAGCTCATTCAATGTTACCTCGACTTAACCATATGTGGAACATTACTTGATTTTGAAGGTTAGTGAACTAAATAAACTAAAATATTATGTAACACTAATTTGAATGATGATGATTATTTTCATTTTGCCTTAATTCTTATGAATGAGGGGTTGCAAAAATTTTCTTTTACTTTGTCTGTACCTTTCTTCATTTCTCTTCAAAAATGAACCCTTTAAAACAAATTGTAAAATTAAAATACTCTGAAATAAATTATATATACTGTATACTAAATGATAAATAATGCACCCATCAATTTGAAGCTCCAACATTCCCCCTCCTCCAAGACAACCCTCAGGCATTTGACCAATGTCTATGCCTGGGGAGTGTAAGTAAGTAAGTAAGTAAGTTAGTAAAAGATTTATTAATGTGTCAATGTATTTAGTTTTCACAACTAATTGGGGACACACACACAAAAAAAATAAAATAAAAAAATTTTTTTAAGCTATTTACAAATAAAAATAAATAACAATAATGTGTGAATTGTATGAATGGGAGAGGAAATGTTCAAGCTTTAAACTGACTGAAGCATAATGAGCTCAAGGTATCTGAAAGACAAAACCAACACGCCAATGTTTTCATTTCATTTTGTACTCAACATACTATCAGTTTATCATTAAATAAATAAAGATTGAGTAGCACACCCAGTCTGATTTCAGCATTTGTGATGGAAC